CCATTGTCGAGATCATTTTATGACGGGTTGCTACCTAAAGAGTTTCTATGAGTGGCTGTGGTTGGAAATCGATGTTAGTGTGTGGAAAACCTTAGGGGCTAGTAGCCGGTCCACCTGTTTTCTTGATGTAAAACATTTGAATCAAAACGGAAGTGTGCATATTCTTTGGTTTTGTAAAAAGTTTTGTGTTTTAGAAAGAAAGGAGATTTAGAATCATTTTTATTTTTCAAAACGAGAATGATTTATGGTATATTGGCTTGAGATTAAAGTTAGGAGTTTGGCTTGTGGAGTCCTTCATGAGACAAATATGATGCGATAACTTAGAATCTTTGGATTTTTGATCATCCATCTTTCTAGCGTGTTGATTGTTTTGGATTTGTTATTGTTGTTTTTGCTTGAGGACAAACAATTGGCTAAGTTTGACGTTGTGTTAGGGTTGACTTTTTTACTGCAGATATGTGTCGGTAGGCCTGTTTGACCACAAAAATTAACCCTTTCCCATCATTATTAGCTAAAAAGACTTACATATTCTTAAATTAAAGCATGCATAGAAAATTTGAGGATAATTTGCAATATATGGTACTTTAGGAAAAATGTGAGAAAAATGCGGTCAAAGTTCGAAGAAAATCACAGAATATGTTTCGCAAGAAATTACGCCTGGCGCAATTTTGGAAGTCAATATCACCAAAACCTGTGTTTCACTTAATAAAGGGCAAGGTAGTCATTTCCAACATGTATGAATGCAGCCAAAACCGTGAGTCCGAGTCAAGGAGGATTTGTTTAGAGAATCTCAACCAATTTCCACCTGAAATGGTGGGAAGGTCAATCAACTTGAGGGCCTATAAAAGGGAGCCTCTCCCCCAGCAGCAAATCATCCATTTTCATCCCGTTTTTTACATCTTCATTTCTTCCATTCTTAGCTGTAGATTTCGTACATAAGCTTTAGAATTATGTTTTAGTTGTTTTTTCTTGTATTTTCATACTTTTACTTATCGTATTGCCTTTGATTCGAGTTTGTAATTCAATTCTTCATCTTTTCAGTTATTTTTAAGTTCATAAGCAGTTTACACTCCCCTTACGCTCAAAAGAGAAGATGGTTAAGCTAAAACTTCTTGTACGCCGTTATTATTCATTTAAATTCAATGGAAATTCATTCTTTTATGTTTTCGTTCGTTTTCTTTCCTTTAATTATGCACTAATTTAGTTATCAACCTCTTTGTGGAATGACTTAGCCAAAATGAATTGATTTCGAACATGCTCGGGAATTGCCCAGATTGA